GAGTGCTCAGGAATTGTAAATCATCAGCTTTATCAAGCCCTTTTCCTGTAGCCAGTGTCCTGCGAGTCTCCCGAATTCCGTCTGCAGACATATGTAACCCTCGCTCCGTCATCGCCCCCTTATAAAGTATCCTAAACTATTTGCGCCCCGCTTTTGCGCAGGGGTTGGGTACGTCGCCAGGGTAATGTTTGAGCATTTTGGGCGCATGTTTGGGGTATTTTTTCCCAACCCTCCTTGGTTGGGTATTCGTTTTGAATAGAGCAGTGTGGTCGCGTCCTTCCTCCTCCCGCCTCCCGCCTCTTTCCTGCCTCTTTCTGTCTTGCCTGCGGGGGGCTGTGAAACTGTCGCCAGTTTCGAGGCCTGCTGGGGGGTCCAGCATAGAGGGTAATCGCGGCAGATCCAAATTAGACCTCGCCACTCCTGGGGGGCTGCGATCTGTGAAACTGTCGCCACTTTCGAGGCCTGCTGGGGGGCTCAGCATGGAGGGTAATCGCGGCAGATTCAAATTAGACCTCGCCATCCCTGGGGGGCTGCGATCTGTGAAACTGTCGCCACTTTCGAGGCCTGCTGGGGGGTCCTGCATAGAGGGTAATCGCGGCAGATTCAAATTAGACCTCGCCATCCCTGGGGGGCTGCGATCTGTGAAACTGTCGCCACTTTCGAGGCCTGCTGGGGGGTCCTGCATAGAGGGTAATCGCGGCAGAGTCAAATTAGACCTCGCCATCCCTGGGGGGCTGCGATCTGCGAAACTGTCGCCATTTTCGAGGCCTGCTGGGGGCCCCAGCACAGTGAGGGCCACGCGCAGATTCAAATTAGACCTCGCCATCCCTGGGGGGCTGCGATCTGCGAAACTGTCGCCATTTTCGAGGCCTGCTGGGGGGCCCAGCACAGTGAGGGCCACGCGCGGATTCAAATTAGACCTCGCCATCCCTGGGGGGCTGCGATCTGCGAAACTGTCGCCATTTTCGAGGCCTGCTGGGGGGCCCAGCACAGTGAGGGCCACGCGCGGATTCAAATTAGACCTCGCCATCCCTGGGGGGCTGCGATCTGCGAAACTGTCGCCATTTTCGAGGCCTGCTGGGGGGCCCAGCACAGTGAGGGCCACGGGCGGACCCAAATTAGACCTCGCCATCCCTGGGGGGCTGCGATCTGTGAAACTGTCGCCATTTTCGAGGCCTGCTGGGGGGCCCAGCACAGTGAGGGCCACGGCGGATTCAAATTAGACCTCGCCATCCCTGGGGGGCTGCGATCTGTGAAACTGTCGCCACTTTCGAGGCCTGCTGGGGGGCCCAGCACAGTGGGCCACGGCGGATTCAAATTGGACCTCGCCATCCCTGGGGGGCTGCGATCTGTGAAACTGTCGCCACTTTCGAGGCCTGCTGGGGGGCCCAGCACAGTGAGGGCCACGCGCGGATTCAAATTAGACCTCGCCATCCCTGGGGGGCTGCGATCTGCGAAACTGCCGCCATTTTCGAGGCCTGCTGGGGGGCCCAGCACAGTGAGGGCCACGGGCAGATTCAAATGAGACCTCGCCATCCCTGCGGGGCTGCGATCTGTGAACCTGTCGCCACTTTCGAGGCCTGCTGTGATCCCCGTTTTCGAAGTGGCTAGGAGTGCTCAGGAATTGTAAATCATCAGCTTTATCAAGCCCTTTTCCTGTAGCCAGTGTCCTGCGAGTCTCCCGAATTCCGTCTGCAGACATATGTAACCCTCGCTCCGTCATCGCCCCCTTATAAAGTATCCTAAACTATTTGCGCCCCGCTTTTGCGCAGGGGTTGGGTACGTCGCCAGGGTAATTTTTTTTTCGCTCAACGCCCCCCTGTAGGGGGGCGTGCCCGACCTAACGCTGGAGGAGCAGAGGCGGGCGCGGCGGCACCGCGGGAGCGAGGGCGGAGGGCGAGGGGCGCAGGAGCTGGGGCAGGAGCAGCAGCACCAGCTCAGGCGATCCTGGGGGAGACTTCGCAGGGAGCCAGCTGCGAGGCCTTTCCGCACGGGCGCCCTCGAGGGCGCGAAGGTATTCGCGCTTCGCGGTTCGGCTACGATTCCTCCTCATCCTCCTCTTCTCCCTTTCGAAGGCGGCGCGAGAGCGCGAAGTTATTTGCACTTCGCGCTTCGCGCAGCGCGAAGCGCGAAGTTGGGAGCCCTTGTTTCCACTCGTCTCCCGCCCCATCTTCCCAGGTATTATGACGAACGGTTTACACGTCAGTATCGCTACGGGCCTCCATCAGAGTGTCCCTGGGGTTTGCCCGTCTCAGGTCTGGTTCACCATCTTCTGGGTCCTCACAGATCTGCTCATACTCGAATCCCTCTCAATTGATTGGCCGGTTGCTGGAGCAAAGATTACAACGCGAGAGCCATGAGCAAATTATCAAGATGTCGCGGGATCTTGTCGATGCCGATGTTGGACATGGTCAATTTCAGCCGTCGCCGATTCGCGAGGAGGGTCCACGAATGCACGCTGACCAAGATCGACGGTTACAAAGATCGGCAGGATGTTTTAACGTCCAGTCTTGGCCATGTCCTGTTTTCTTATCCTACAAGTCCTGGGAACATCTCAGGGAGCACGCGATGCAGAAGAGGCGGGAGGAGCAGCAGGAGCAGTTACATGCGCATTGGCTGGAGCAGGGTGGGATGTGTCCGGGGGGGGAGGATGCGGAAGGTGAGGGGGGCGAGGACTGGAGACTACTTTTGAAGGGGTAAGCCACCAGCGGGGCATGCGGGAAAGTTCCTGTGCGAGCTTGTATCATCCACGTCCACTGTTCCAGGTACTCCCGCAGGCTGACGGAGAACGAGCTCTGCAAGGCCCGTCTCGCCGCTTCGCTTTGCACGATTAAGGTGGCAAAGGGAAAACGTTGCGGCGCGCGCAGGGGACAAGGGGATGGCGAGAGAGGCATTGATTCGTCTTTCTGTAAAGAGTTCGGTTCCCCCCTTCGCCGAGGCTGGAATTATCCCTCCATCCTCGCGTATTTTTCATTTTTACACTGCACGGTCGTGCATCCTGAATCTCACAGAAAGGCAGCCCAGCCCAGCCAGTGTCGACCCTTCTCTCGGCGGAAACATGTGCGCGAATGTGCAGCACACAACACTTTCATTGCACGAGGCTAGGATGCGGAGCACGTGCGCGCGCCGCGGCGTTTTCTGTTGAAGAACATACGGATGTGCTCATACTTTAAGACGCACCTGCTCAGTAACAGTCTAGCTAAAACCAATGGCTCTCCTGCCATGTCCTGCAATGAGAGTTGGCATGCTGCTGCGTGCGCACACTCGCTGTACCATAAGCGCAGCTGGTCGACATTCCGTCAGATTCGACCACGTGGGCCGCGCGCGCATGTTGAACTTGTTCAGCCACAATCGCGCGCCCGCCATCCTTGCTGAATGGTGCGATGCGGGCCACGTGCGCGCATCTCCGCACGCGCACCTCCAAATCCTTCCAGCACCAGCTGTACATGAACCGTTTCATCACAGATGTGTTCACCCATATGCGAGCACCAGGATGTTTCCAAGGCGACAAAGACATGGATTCCTGAATCTATGAGAGCGTGAGCTTCCTTATCACCCTCATCAGCACGACCGGTATCATCATCATAAGCGCCATCGTCATCATACAAGCCGCCGTCGCCATCGTAGTCGTCGATGTCGTGCTCGCCATTTTTTGCGCGCGGGTGCTCTACATGGACGACCGCTCCATCACGGCAGCAACGACGTAAGTTTTCGATTCGGATTTGGACTACACGCAGCGCTTCGACATGGCGGTGAGCTTCGCGGACAACCAGTCCACGAGGCAGAGGCGGACGCGGCCTGACGACCCGCCTGTGTTGATTGAACACCGTGGGGTGACGGCCATGCCCGTGGACCCCACACACCCGATCTGACCTCGCGGAGGCTGGGACAAGCTGGACGCGGCGATCTCGATTTTGGGATCGTGTCTTGGAACGGCTGCAGTACGATTGAGACTGGCTATCACATGCATTTGACCCCTATTGTTGTGGGGATGCCCTCTGTTGGCCCCGCTACCTGAGCTGACCAGCAAGGCGCTACTTCGGGCGATTACCAGACCGACCGATGGTGGGACCAACACATCAATGTACACCCTAAGTTCCCAGGTGCCTTACATGTTTTCAAGGTGATCGTGGACGAGCGTTTGGATTGGTCCACCTTGCTGGGGAATTCGATGCAACAGCATGCGGCCTCGCTTTGCCTTCTTTTTCTGCGATCTGCGGATGGTCGTGTGTGTCTCTTGCAAGTGGATGGGCGGGATGACAACCGAGTAATTACGCTTGTGGAAGCGACGGAGCGACAGTTCTGGACACATCGACCCAACGATCCGAGGTACGGCAAGCGCATCGAACACGTGTTGCGTTGAATTGCTCGAGTTCGGTGCCTGGCTTCCGTTAATGACAAGCGGGCATATGCGGTTGAGATCCTCGATGTGGGTATCGTTGCTGAGCCGCGCCCAACCTTCAAGAATTTTGTGAAGAAGCTGTCGGGGGAGCACTGGGCATCATTGAACATATTTCGTTCTGGGGCCGTAGTTTCGGAGACACGCAGCAAGTCGGGGTTGCCTTGCATTGCCAGGCTATCAATCCCTGGTTCCGTCACCTGTGGGCCGAGTGGCCGAAGTATCAACCTTTTCGACGTGCCAATGGCGAACGTCATGGATTGTCTAGTATTTGTTCGGACGACGGCACCGAGAGTGCTGGCCAAGCGTGGATGGGTGACTTTCAATTGTCATCCGAACCCGAGAATGCGGACCACCATGTAGATTGCCGCTTGTGAGTTGGGCATGCACATCCTGGGAGAGGGTCTTGACGAACTGCTCTACCATCACCACATCGGCAGGCTTATCTTGTTGTTGCTGATCGTGGAGTTGGTGGTGGGTAGTCTTTTGTGTCATGGGGCTAGTCTATTGTGTCATTGGGCAATTCCAGAGTTCGGGTGTTTTATGCAGCATCTTGTTTACCATCATCACCATCGCCACTTACATCACCGCCACCGCCGCCGCCCCCATCATCGTGTCGTGTCTACCACCACTGTCATCACCAGCGGCATCAGCGTCATTACAATGTCGTTCCCGTAGCCTATGGTGTCGCGGGCACCAGCATCGTCACCATAATCTCGCGATCTGCAGGACGGACGTGTCTGCGCGGTTGAGTTCCACGCGCCGTTACGCTCGATGGGCATTTCAAAGTGCTGGGTTATCAGCTGCATGGGCTGCACCACGAATATCGCATCCCACAAACTGGCCAACTGTAGTGCACATAGAGATTGCAATATCTGATTATTTGTTGGGCACGCGCTGGCAACAATCTATTGGCCAGTGCTGTATGCGGCATGCGTTCGTGCATCTGGGCGGAATCGAGCTGCAGTTGCCTTGCGGTCAGTCAGGGCAACACGGATGCATTTGTTCGTCAAGATGTCAAGGCATTCCTGTCTATTCGCGCCGCACATTGCCTGCTCGACCCATCCCTGCCTGTTCTGTCAAGCCTTGCCTGATGGGCAAATCGGTATTGCACCCTTGCCTTGTGTTCTTGACCTGGTGGTTTGACTGTGGGATGAGCATCTCGAGATACTAAGCCGCGACACAGCAGCGCCGTAACACATCACTGGGCGTGTGAGTGTCTTCCCGGGCAGAATATGCCCGACTGTCCGATGTTTGCGCCGCTCTCCTTTCACTTACTATCTCTCTCTCTCTCTCTTTCTCTGTCGGCGATGGGGCGCGATCCTCTGACCCCATCTACTCGGACCCCATCTACTCGGACCCCCCCTCCTAGATGGGGCCCGAGTGGATGGGGTCGGCGCATCGTGCCGCATCGCCGACTCTCTCTCTCTCTCTCTCTGGGGAGAGGTCAGTCCACGGCACCCAGGATGCAACAAGGCCCGGATATGGCAGCTGGCCGCAGCCTCCTGTTGTCAAACCACACCTGGCAGCGCGGGGCAGGAACGCGAGAATATTGGAAGGAAGAGGACGAAGAGGGGAGGGGGGGGGGGACACGAGGCGGCCGCTGTGGCAGAGATGGCCCGGAAAGAGGAAGGAAGGGAGGGGGAGGGGAGGACGAGGAGAGGAGGGGGGGGGGGACACGAGGCGCCCCCCCGTGGCAGGGACGGCCCGGATGGGGAAGGGAAGGGATGGGGGAGGGGAGGGGGGGGTGCGGGGGAGGGGGTGATGAGCAGGCTGCAGTCGTGGTGGTGGTGGTGGCCGTCGTTGCAATGAGCGTGGTGGTGGGCGGGCCCGCTGGTGGTGGCCGTGGTGGGGGGCGTTGCGGCCGTCGCGGTCGCGGTGGTCGTGGTGGTGGTAGTCGCGGTCGTCGCAATGGTCGTGCCAGTGGTCGTGCGAGCGGTCATCGGCGAGCACAGCGGTCGCAACGGTCGTGGTGGCGGCCGTCGTGGTAGTCGCAGTGGTCGTGGTCGTGGCCGCGCTAGTGGCCGTCGGGCTGGTAGCTGGTGGTGGTCGTGTCGGAGCTGGTGGTTGCGGCGGTGGTAGTGGTGGTTCTCGTGTTGGTGGTGGCCAGTGGCCTGCCGGCTCAGGCGCAACGCAGCATCTCGGCGCTGCCGGATGCAAGGCAGCGCTGGATCTGCCGCCGAGTGGTGGCAAACGCAGCTGACCGCCCAGCCTCTGGCAAATTCCAGCCGTAGGAACGCTTGAAGGCGACCAGCTCGTCAGCTGGCTGGCCCCTGGACTCCAAGACACCGGGGCTCAGCTTCATTGTGGACGGGGGGGTAGCGCGTCCGCTTTCTGTCGACAGCCTGGGCAGCCACTGCCCCATCCGTGCGAGCCCTGGCCCTTGGCCTGCCTGCGAGCGTTGTTGTCGCTGTGGCTGCTTTCGCAGGTGAAAGAACCGTGCACGCAGGCAAGGGCGTTGGTAGCGGGGTCGCGCGTGGCCACGTGGAAGGTGGCCTCCTCCCGCACGCCCGTGTCGGGGTGCTGGCGGTCCCCAGCAGGGAAGCGCTGCTCGGTGGTGGCCCGGTGGCCAGTCTGAACGTAGTGCCACGGCGCCCTCCAGCTCGCAGGGAGTTGTGTCGGTAATCCCTGTTGCCTCCGCACCCACACTGCCTGGCGTGCCAGCACTGGGCGTCCAGCAGCTCTCCGCGTAGCGAGCCGTTTTGTTTGCGGTGCTGGCAGCGCGCGCCCTGTGCGCATGCGTCGCAGCTGAGGCGTATGCTTATGTCGGGCGTGTCCCCCTATCGGGGGATTTTCGACGAAAAATAAAAGATACCCCCAAAATACACCCAAAAAGGTCAACACATATTCCAAACATAGTCCCCACAATATGTTTGGAATCTGATTTTTTGGGGGGCATTTTTTTATATTTCGTCGAGAATCCCCCCTGTAGGGCGACAGGCCCGACTTGAGCGTATGCGTCGGTCTGCCAAGAGGTGCACGTCCGGGAGGGGCGCGTCGCCCTCTCCGCGCGGGAGGAGCCAGGCCCCCGCCCTGGGGCCACTCTTGTCCTGCGCATGCGGCGAGCCGGCCGCTGCCGTCCAGCGTCCGAGGGAGCCGCGCCTTCACGGCAGCGGAGGTCCGCTTCCCTCGGTACCCCTGCTCAGTTGTCTCTCAGTGCGTGAATTACCTCCCCCGCTTTCGCTTCCAGGCAAAACCAAGCCATACCACGCGCCTCCTCGTCACGCGGCCTGACCAGTACAGGCCGTAGTTTGGCACCGCTTGGTATCTCTTGGAAGCGAGGGTGGTCAAAAGCGAGGTAGGTTTGTTTGCCCCCTAGTATTGAAACGCAGCACGTCCCGTGTTCAAGACGTCCGTGTCAACACGTTGCGTGTTGGCTCCACGTCTCGGCCCACGTTTTGGCGAACGTCTCGCGTCGGACCCGCGTTTCCAGTCCACGTGTTGAGCTCCCGTATCAATACGCCACGTGTTGCGTGTTGCGCATCGGGGCAGCTAAGTGCCCCTGCAGTTTGGCCTTCGGCTCGGCCAAGGGAGCGGACTTGTCCAGAGGCTCCGCCCCCGCCTCTTGCCAGTCGGGCTCCGCCTCCGCGCGGCGCCGGGCCTCCGCCGTCAGGGGGGCAGCGGGCCCCGGCGGCCTCCGCCAGCGCGGCCTCCCCAGGCAGGCCGCCCGCGCCCCCGGGAGCAGAAGGCCCAGCTCAGAGGCAGGTGCGGGCGACGGTCTCCTCGGCGGAAGGGATGCCAGTGCCACCGTCGGAAAGGCGGTGGAGGAGGAGGAGGAGGAGGAGGAGGAGGAGGAGGAGGAGGAGGAGGAGGAGGAGGGGTTGAGCCAACCTTTGTGCTCGTTGCTCAAAGGCCCAGTAGGTTCGGCGAAGGCGCCGCAGGCCGAGTCGCCGAGCTCTCCCACCCGAGCGGTCTCGTGGTTCGCGCGTGGCGGGTGGGTGCCACACCCCTGGGCGCAACTGCGGATCAGCGTGTGGGCTCCTTCCGCCGAGAGCCCGTTCTGGCGCAGCGAATTGCAGTGCCCCAGGAAGCTCCGCGTCTTGTCCATGACCTCCCGCTCGTCACGGCTAGCCAGGACGGGCAGACTGGCGTCAGCGTCTCCGTCGTCGCGGTCGTACCTGGTGGCCAGATTGCCGAGCATGATTGGCGTGGCAGTCTGGAGTGCCGCGAGTCGGGCAGGGACCACAATGGCCGGGCTGGGGGTCCAGACTTGTGTTTTCGCCGGGTTGAGTTCCAGACCAGCTTGAACCATCTCTTCCTGGACGATGTCGTGCGCCAGAGCGGCGGCCCTGCGAGCACGACGACGAGCATGTCGTTCGGGTCGGAGAACAGGCGGGAGACAGGGTGGGCGGTCGTGCGCGCGCGCGCGGGGGCGTCCGCGATGCCCACCGCGAAGAAGGCATGGCTGAGCGGGCATCGCTGGTCGACGCCTGACACAGGCAATGGGTGCCGTGGTCGTCTCAGAAGCTCTGCGTCGTCGGCCCAGTCGGTGAGGCGCTGGCGACTGGCACGAGGCCCGGCGCCTGCAGCGGCCCACTGCGCCCAGCACCGCCTGGCGGGGCAGGGCGCTGAAAGCGTTGGTGGCGTCGGAAACGGCGGTCCCGGGCAGCCGGGCGGCGCCTCGGCCAAAGGATCGAGGGAAAAGAACTATGCACATGCACCGATTCTGGCCAGGCCCATCCTGAGCCCAGGATCGGTGCATACGCCCTCCTACCTTGGCCAGGAAGGCATATGCACCGATCCTGGGTCAAAAATGGGCCTTGCCAGGATCGGTGCATGTGCATAGTTCTCTTCGCCCGAAAAGGAGTGGCACTCTGTAGACCTTTTCAGGGCCACCTTGGTGGCGACCGCGCACTGGCGGTGGGGGCCGCTCCTCCTTCGGCTCCTCTAGGGAGACTTCACAAGGCGCTTTCGCCGCCAGCCTGCGGAGGACACTGCCGCACGCCACCGGCCGGAGCTCCCCGTTCTGCTTCCGCAGCGCCGCCACAGCCGGGGCCCGAGGTTGGCCGCTCTGGAACCACTGGGATGGGCGCCGAGCAGGGAGGTTACGGCCACCTGGCAGAAAGCTTCGGCGGATTCGAGGTGTCCTGCGGGCGGCAAGTGCGTCGTCATCTTGCAGCGGCAGCCCTGGCCGCGGCGGTGGTCGCCGACTCGCGTCAAAGGGTCCCCCAGTCTCCCCGCCCGGCTATGCGGATCCGTCGGGAGAGGTTTTTGTTCTTGGACAGAGGCCGCTGTCCGTGGCGCTCCGTCACCCGCGGGCCCGGGACGGTGTGAAGGTCGAAGAATGCCGGCAGCTTGCCCGCCCGCCCTGCTGGCTGCAGCGGGATTGCCTGCCCGTTGAGCGTCGCGCACGGCGCTCGCGGCGGCCCCCCGCAGAACGGCCAGAGAGTGCGCCAGAGGCCCTGTGACTGACCCCGCGGTACGCATGTCGTCGTAAGACACGCCGCCCCACAAGTCCAGGTGGAGGAGGGTCCGCGTCGGGCTCCCGTCCGCGTCAGAGCCATGCGGGTGTCCGTGGTGGGTGTCGTCGGCGGAGTCGAGGGGCGTCTGCGGTTTGGTGTCGGCGTCGGCTCGGTTATATGCGGCAGCGCATGCGTCGAGCTCGTGGGTCGGCAAGGTGCTCCGCCCGTCTGGGGCGCCCCGGCTGGTTCGGGGGAGCGTAAGACCCGGGTTTGCCGGGACTCGGGTTCGCCATCGTTTTTTGACGACCGCGCCTCGGATTCTGACGAGGAAGAGTTTCGTGGGATGTCTGCAGCGGGAGGCCTCGTCAAAATGCAGGCTCGGCCTCGTCATTTTTTTGACGACCTCGTCGGGAATTTCCGAGTCCCCCGTACCCGGGTCTTACGTCTCCCCGACTGGTGGCAGGACGCGGGCAGTTTTGCCCGGGCTTCTCAAGGAAGCGGAGCGTTTCCTTGCACCGAGTCGAACGGACGGATCCTGCCCTCCACGCAGCTTGGGCAAGATCGCACCCCGTGAGCCAAGCTGCGGGATGCACTGCGTGCTCGGAGGTCGCCGTTGGAGAAGGGCCTACGGCAGGCGCTGGCCTGGCAGGCACAAGAGCGGCGATGAGATACAACATCGGCTGCCCACTCTGTTTCCGCTGGCGGACCCGCGCCTGGTGCCGGGGGCTCCGCTACCCGCAGGCCCGCCGCCCGGGGAGCACTCCGGGAGCAGGGGGCACGGGTGGTTGGGCGGCCGGGCTGCTTGCTGGACCGGAGGTCGGAGGAGCGAGGAGGACCGACGGGGGAGGGAGGGGAGGAGGAGGCGGGAGGAAGAGGGGGGATCGAGGCAAGGATGGGGGCAACGGAAGGGGACTGGGCCTCGAGCTCCGACGCCTCGAAACATTTCAACATCGTACTCGAGAGCCATCGGAGCCCAGGACCCCATTGTCTTCGCCATGTTGTGAGCCGCGTTGACACGCGTGAGGGCCCCGGGGCCCGGAGCCGGGCGAACACGCCTGGTGTTTCAACATTTGCAACGCCAGGATCTCGGGGCGCCGCGAGGAGGAGTCACTGCCCGACCCTTCGAGACCGCCCGCGCTCCGCGCCGGTCCAGATGCTCGAGCCCGAGGGGCCCGCGGCGGCGACCCCGCGGGGCGTCCCCTTCGAGGGCTTCGGGAAGCTGCAGGCGGACATCGCGAGGGCCGCGCAGGCAGGGCTTCCCCCCTGGGGAGGGGGGAGGGGGAGAAAGAGGAAGAGGAGGAGTTGGAAAAGGGGGGGGGAGGAGGAGGAGGAGGAGGAGGAGGAGGAGCAGGAGGAGGATTAGGAGGAGGAGGAGGAGGAGGAGGAGGAGGAGGAGGGGGTGGAGGAGGTTGGCACCTGCGGCGAACTGCCAAACACCACCCACGGCGCGGGCACCTCACGGACGAGACGCTGCGGGACATCAGGGCAGCGGCACGCCACGCGGTCCGTCTGGCCAGTGGGCGCGTTTTTCGGGGCGGCGGGTACCGACCTCGGCGGCCTCATCCTCCTCCTCCACGGCCTCCCACTCGACGGTGCCGCGCCCCCGACTCACGCCGATGGTCTCCTCGCGTGATCCCGGCGTCATTGGAGTGAGCTCTGCTTCCGCGGGTTCTTCTTCGAGCTGGAGCGCCTCGACCCCGCCCGCCTTGCCCGCCTCGGCGCCACCAGACGCCGATGCCCTCCATGATGGCGTTGAAGCGGCTTCTGGGTCACGGGATGCCCATCCTGCCCACCAGGGCAGCGGCCGGTTCTTGGCCATGCTCACCATCAATGTTGATGGCGAAGGGTGAGTTGCCGACCCCGCCTCAGGCGTGAGGCAGAATGGAGCTTTCCGTTGCGGCACTCTCGCGGAGGAGGATGAGGAGGAGGAGGAGGAGGACCAGTGTAAACGCAAGAATCATCAACGATGTTGGAATAAACCCTCCCTCAAGCTCCCTCTTCACAGGCCCCTACACCTGTTCATTTCCAGTCTTGGAACTGTGCCTTGTTGGAAGACAAAATGGCCCCTAACTGTTTGAAGACCCTGAAGCATGCCGAAAGATTGTTTTCGGGATTTCCGCGCCATTGATCAACCGGACTGTTGCCTCTTGACGATACGGACTGGTGCCAGAACGTCATTCCCGGGACCTGCAAGGCGACCCGATCGACCAACAGACCGCCGTGTGCGGGCCGAGCCGAGCATCGCGCTGATCGACCCCCCGTCGCCGCAGAGGAGGTGCCCCCGCAGGCCCGTCGGCCCTCCCAGCAGAGGCGCTTCGCTACCAGCTGCAAGGGAGCACGCCGCAGCGCCGCCCGCCCGGCGCCAGCGCGCGGAGGATGCGGGGGGTCACCGCCGACCCCGACCCGCCCACAGATATGGCTCCGTGCCCGACGGATGCAGTCAGGGATGTTGAATCCAGCAGCGACATGGCCCAAGTTGCGGGGGCTGCCTCGGCTTCTTCCTGCCGGTTAAAGGGCAGTGCGACGTTCGGCGCACATCGCGCTGCGTGCGGTGAGTCTGCAGCCCCGCGCATGAGAGGCGTGCGCCCAGACCCGCTGACCCCGCCGCAAGTGGCGCGTGCCCCGCTGACGTTCTATTCGGAGAGCTACAGGGCTAATCCAGGCGGGGGTCCGCGATGGCACCATGCAGGCGCACTGCAAAGCCAACGAGTACGCCCTCGATTCAGGGTGGCGGACTGAGGACGCAGTGCAAACGCCACGACCGCATCTTCCACCAGTAGTTACGGAACCAGCGAGCACCGACACGCCCCACGCAGCACAGAGCGGCATCCAAGAGCCGACCAGCGTGCGTGTATGAGCGTTGGATGAGGGACGCCCGCTCCAATCCCTACGACAGCTCGGTCGCCAACCTAGGGCACCGCCTGTTCAGGTCCAGCTTGGATGAGGAATCGCCGCAGAAAAGCCGACTTCAGGGGCTACGGACGAGAGAAGCTGCTTCATCCATGATCACGGTGACAGAACCGACCGCTGGTGTCCTGCGACTCACTTCCCCGCCACGACTCACCGCCCACTATCCAGGCTTGCGCGAGCCCGGGCGATTCCTCCAGCTGACGTCGTGGCCTTGGATCAAGCCCCACGACGACCTTCTGGGACGGTGAAGCGGCTCCACGAGTACGCCGACGGCACGCGCCAAGCTGACTCAATCGAGGACGTCTGGGCTGCTGCTATTACCATCCAAGACGAGGACGCCTGGGCTGTTGTCATTACCCTGGAGGCCGTGGTGGCCGCGTTCGGGCCACGCCAGCCAGCCGACCACCTTGCCCCCGTTCCGCCTCTTTCACCCTAGCGCGCGTGAAGCACTTCCGGTCAACCGTATTCATTCTATCGCATGTAGCCGCCGACAAAAGTCAATTGGTGGATGGGGGGCGGGTATGGGCAGAGGATTACGTTCGACAAGTGACGCCACGGCCTGGGTGGCTCAAATCTTCCGGCGCCTCGTGGAACTCCCCCGGCCCCCCAGTCTTTCCCCAGGATCCCTTCGGCCACCTCGGTTGTCGAGGGTCCACTTGGCGTGACCGAGGGTCGGGTCGGCGGGGGTCCCTAAGAGCAGGGGAGAGGCCTCCGAGCTACCCGCCTTGGCGAGGGTGGCATCCCTCCAGCCAACCACAGCCACCGCCGTTTGATGGCGCAAACCTCCCCGCGCCCTGTGTGGGAAACACCACCCGACCCCGCAGTCCCCCACTGCGTGCCCTGCGACCACCTCGGTGGGCGAAGGGCCCCTCTGGCGGGACAGGGGGTCGGGGCGGCGGGGTTTCCTCAGGGCTGGGGAGAGGCCTCTGCGCCATTCCTTCTGGCGCGTGTGGTCGCTGCCCGGCCGCAGCCGCAGCACCAGGCGCGCGCCGCGGCCGTCCAGGCAGGGGCCCGGGCGGCTGCAGCACGCAGCCGCCGCCACGGTCTGGCGCGCCGTCGCACCGCAGCAGCCGTCCAGCACGCAGGAGCCGCGAAGCCGAGTCTGCGCCGCCGCAGTACACAGCCGCCGCCCAGCATCTCTTCCTGCTTCCTCCCCTTCCTTTCAGTCGGGCGTGTCCCCCTACTGGGGGATTTTCGACGTCTGGGGACTATTTTTTGACTATTGTTCAAACCTTTTTGAGGTTTTTTGGGGGTACGTTTTTTGTCGGAAATCCCCCTGTGGGGGGACAGGCCCGACTAAACCCTTCCTACTGGTTGTCATAAGATGCCTTCCCGTCCTCCCCGCGCCCCCTCAGAATCCACTGCTGTCACCCTCGATTCATTCTCTCTCACGCAGCGGGCGACTCCAGGGGCGACCGCCCCTGGGGTCGCCTGGTTCAGTCGTTCGATCAAACCTAAAGGGGAGACCGCCCCCTGGGGGGCGGGTGGCAACGTCTGAAGAATCCAGGGGCTCGGGGGTACAGAGAGTCTCGAGCCTCTCGGCGCCTCGGGCCTCCCAGGGCATTTTCTGAGCCCCAGGACATAGGAAAAGAGAAGAGCTTGAGGGGAAGGGCCAGGGGGTCCATGGTTCCGGCACTTCAAGTACCCAGTCTTCAGAGTTATGGGGATCGATTTTTCGATGTTGGTTCATGGGGGGATCTAAAAGGCGTTTCGTCGCAACGGCTGGATTCCTTGTTGCAGAGTCTTGTCAAGGCGGAGCCCTGGCGAGATCTAGGGGTCGACTTTGTGAGGGGGATGCGGGTGAGAAGGGGTGTTGCGGGTGAGGAGGCAGAGAGGGGGAAGGAGGAGGAGGAGGAGGAGGACGAGGAGACGGGGGATAGGACGTGAATGGGCCGAAGAAGAATATGATTGATGATGACCTTGATTTGGCTTCCGACGACGATGATATTGATGATCAGGTTAGTCATAATTCGTACCAGCATGGTGATGTTGATGATCAGGGGGGGCGGCGGAGGATGAGAGGGAGGACCTGCGGGTGGAGGAAGAGGGAAGGAGGAGGAGGAGGAGGAGGAGGAGGAGGAGGAGGGAAGGAGGAGGAGGGGGGGGAGGACGATGGGGAGGAAGACGAGGGGGAGGAGGACGAGGACGAATGACCGCCGGCCTGGTCGCGAGCGACGACACGCGCGCCCAGGAGGAGAGGGCGTCCCGCGAGTCGGAGCTGGCGCGGATGCAGGCGGCCACCCGGAGAACATTTATGTTTCTGTGTGTTTCTCTCTTGGTAATGGCTCCGGCCCAGGGTCCTCTCTTGGTACCGTTGGTCTGTCTGGCTGTAGACAGGGAGGTGTGGAGCAGCAGGCATCGGGCTCTTCGCGCGCGCAGGCGCGCATGTGGAGAGGGGTGGGGCTCAAACGTGCGCCTGTGAGATTTGGCACACGTTCTCACGCGTGTGGGCCCCTTGGGGAGTATTCAACACGGGGGCGCGGGATCGTTCACCTGGCGGCGGAGGGCCGGGTTCTGGCGGGGCGCCCGTGCCGGCAGCCGTCAGGGTCTGTTGCACCAAGCGGCGACGACGAGGAGGGAACGGAGAAAAACGAACGGCGAGGAGCAGAGGAACGAGCAGGAGAGGGGAACAGGAGGGGGAGGAGGAGGGGGAAAAAGGAAGAAGAGGGGGAGTGGCGGGAGTGGCATGGGGAAGGGAAAGAGGAGAAGGAGTAGTGGGATGCGGGGGGAGAGGGGGAGAGGCGGAGACACAGTGGTGGGAAGATGCGTAGAGGAGGAGGAGGAGGAGGAGGAGGAGGAGGAGGAGGAGGAGGAGAAGGAGTGGGAGGAACAGGCGTGGAAGACGAGGAGGAGGAGGAGCAAGAGACTGAGGACGAGGATGTGTCCTGGTTCCCTGCGTCCACTGCTTTTAACTCTTTACTTTGCTTCAATGTGCTCTGCCTTGCTTTTGAACGTGCTCCCATGCTTGGCCGCCTTGCGTCTTCCTCAATGGCCGCGCCACAGCGGGTCGAGACTGATGTAGTATAGTGTGTCACTTCAGCACATATCAGCCATGACCGCATACTGTCTGTTGATGTGTTCCCAAACAGTGCTCGCACTGATTGGTTCTTACTTCGGTTAATTACGTGCGTAAGTCATCGGGTGGGTCAGCCGAGGTTGCGCCACGTTGCGGCCCGTGCCGCTTGTGGGCGCTCGAAGGCGACCAGTGCGCTGGGTGGGTGGGCCGAGGTTGCGCGACGTTGCCGCCCGCGCTGCCTCCTGGGCGCTCGGGGGCCGCCGTGCGCTGGGTGGGTCGGCCGAAGCCGCGTCACGTTGGCGCCCCTGCCGCCTCGTGGGCGCTCTTTGGCGCGCCGTGCGCTGGGTGGGCCAGCGGATGCCGCGCCACGTTGCCGCCCGTGTCGCCTTTTTTGCGCTCGTCGGCGCCCCTTGCATAGATGTATCACCACATAGCGCAAGCCACATAGTTTGCACGACAAACGCCTTGTAGCTTGCACCGCATGGCGTACACTACGTATATTTCACCTTCTGGCCTGCACCGCGTAGACTTCGCTTACACCACAGACAGCACGCGTCATAGGTTGTAGCCGCTGCGAATGCATTTCACGAGTGGCGTACACACCTATATATATATATATATATATATATCACCATCTAAGTGTGTGCCTGTATATAATCATGTTCATGCATGTGTAGAGAGAGGTATATGTATATGTTTATGCACATGTACAGATATATGCATGTGTATGCGTTTGTGTGTATGTACCTGGATGTATGAATGTATGTGTAAATGTATATGCATCTGTCCATGCATATGAAATATTTGTGTATACGTACACGCATATATGTATACATATAACGGCGCACCGGGTCCGGGGGCCCGGGGCCGGGACCCCGACCACAAATGTGGGCCCCAGGGGGCCCGGAGGCTCGTCGGACCGCCAGACGCCGTCCAAGATCGTTCGCAGGCGGCTTCGGAACGCGCTCCGATGGCTCCAGATGCCTTCCAAGACGCCTGTCATGACACCAAGAAGGTCCCAGAAGCCTCCAAGACGCTCCGAGAGGCAGCCCAAGAGAGGCCCAAGAAGCAAAAATCGTGCCATTCCTATGGGAAAACGTATATTTTTCGCATGTTCGCCTCTTGGGCTTTCACCGCGTCCAAGACGGCCCAAGAGGCGCCCAAGACGGTCTACGAGGCCTCCGGGAGCGCTCCAAGGCTGCGCACGAGTGGCCCAGGACGGCCCCAAGACGGCCGAAGAGAGCCCCAAGACGAGTTCGAGAGGGGTCCCAGACGGAGAAAGCCAACCTCGAATTCCGAGCTTCCGGCCCAAGAGGCTCCAGGAGGCGCCAAAATGCCGCCAAGAGGCGCCAAAAGGCTCCCAAAAGCACCCCAAGACGTTCCGAGAGGCACCCCAAGAGAGGTCCAAGAAACAAAAATCGTGTCATTCCTATGGGAAAACGTATATTTTTCGCATGTTCGCATCTTGGGATTTCACCGCGTCCAAGACGGCCCAAGTGTCCTCCAAGACGGCCTAGGAGGCCTCCGGGAGCGCTCCAAGGCTGCGCACGAGTGGCTCAGGACGGCCCCAAGACGGCCCAAGAGAACCCCAAGACGACTTCGAGAGGGGTCCCAGAAGGAGAAAGCCACTCTCGAATTCCGAGCTTCCGGCCCAACATATCCCAGGAGGCGCCAAAACGCCGCCCAGAGGCGCCAAAAGGCTTCCAAAATCAGCCCAAGACGTTCCGAGAGGCACCCCAAGAGAGGTCCAAGAAACAAAAATCGTGCCATTCCTATGGGAAAACGTATATTTTTCGCATGTTCGCATCTTGGGCTTTCACCGCGTCCAAGACGGCCCAAGAGGCCTCCAAGACCGCCCCAAGACGGCCCAAGAAGCTTCCAAGAGGGCCCCAGGACAGCCCAAGAGGGCCCCAAGACGGCCCAAGAGGCGCCCAAGATGGCCCAAGAGGGCCCCAAGACGGGCCCAAGAGGGGGCCCAGAGGGGGACCACGAACCGCAAGCTCGAGCCTTCCGCCCCAAGAGGCCGCCAGGAGGCCCCAAGGAGGCCCCTCAAGAGGCCCCAGGAGACCCCCAAGAGGCCCAAAGGAGGCCCCGAGAAGCCCCAAATCGGCCCCCAAAATGCTTCGAACCTGCTTCCAGGAGGCCCCCGACAGGTTCAGAGGCTCCCGAGAAGCTACGTCAAACTCCCAGCGAGCGGCCGGACGAGGCCCCCCACAAAATCACAAGAGGGTTCCAGTATTTGTATCCTTCAGCGCTCTCTGGCCTTCTTCCCCCTGCCCCCTTCCCTGCGACTTTCGTTGACTCAAGCTCGCCTCCTAGCTAGAACCTAAGCGCGCGCGAAGCGCGCGCGTGGTTCTAGTATATGTATATGTATATCCACATGCACCTGTACATGACATGCATGTGTATGTGAAGCTGATATATATATATATATATATATATATATATATATATATACATATACATATGTATATTATATATATATTATACATATATTCATATGAATGTATATATGTGTGCACATGTGTGTGAGTATGTATCTGTATATGTGCATGTATATATATATATATGTATATAAGAATAGTTATGTGTGTATTTATACACATACATAACGAGGTACCAGCCCCGGGGTTCCAGGGCCGCGATCTCGAACACAAATGGGTGGCCCCAGGGCTCCGGGGCGCTTCCGCGGCGCCGGGGTCCCTCTAAGATCATTCGAAGACGGCCCCAGACTGGCAGACATCGCCTTTCTGGACAGCGAAAACGACCAATGATGGTAGAGATGCCCCCAGAATTAGCCCAGACTCTTCAAGAGGCCTCCCCGACGCCCCAAGAGGCCTCTAAGAGTCATGGCGCCCACATCGCAGAGCGGATTTCGGTCGGCAAACCATGGGATGGGCCCCGATAATCTTGGAGAATTTCGTTTTAGATTTCGAGAGGAATTTCGCGTGGATTTGTTTTGGCCAGGAATGAAGAAGACTAAAGAAACATCCACGCGGAATTCACGTCGACGTCGGTTTTCACTCGCCGTTCGGTGTTTCGTAGTGACAGAAATCCACGCAAAAAATCTGCTGCATCAGGTCTGCCAGGTCGGCAGTGACAAAAGGCCTCCCATGAGGGCCCGAAGAGGCAAAAGTCGCTGAGTGTCCGTAGGTTGTTGAAGGATTTTCGAGTTCTCGCCTTTCCAGTGTCCCGACGCTCCACGACTGCCCAAGAGGCCCCAATGTCCGCTCCGACGCAGCCCAAGAGGGCCCCACGACACTCCAAGACGGCCCACGAGCGTTCCAAGACGGTCCCAAGTAGGGCACAGGAGGGGTAACCCGAACCGACAATCCGAATTTCCACCTTGATAGGTTCCCTGGAGGGCCCAAGAGGCCCCCAACAGGCCCCTAGGCCCTGAAGAGTCCCTACGAGGCCTCCACAAGGCCTCCCAAGAGCGACCGAAGAGACAACAATCGCTGATTATTATTTTTTGTGAATAATTTTTGATTTCTCGCCTTTTTCAGTTTCCCGACGCGCTAAGACGGCCCAAGAGGCTCCCAAAAAGTTCCTCGTTGTCGTCATCCTTCTCGTCTTGCCTTTTCTCCCACATGCATTATCCTGTCTTGCATGTATCATCCTTCCGTCCTTCCTGCTACCTTCCTCCTTGCTCCCTCCCTCCGTGTGCCCCCCCCTCCCTCACCCCACCCCCTCGCTCCTACCCTTGACAGGTGGGGAACGCGAGGGCAGGTGGGACAACAGCAGGCTAGATTGTATACGATTGCAGTATGCGTACGTGTATTGATTCAATTGTCCCTGGACGGAATCCGAGCACCATCCCAATGGCGCCTTGAGCAGCGATCGCAGTTGCTTCGCAGCTCCCGTTTGTTGATTATTCGGTCGCGGCCGTTGTTCCGCGCCTCACGCCGGGCGTCGACGCGTATGGAGCATGATTTCGCACGGCTGCTCCAAACCGATAAGCCTGTTCATCTGTGTATTCTACGTTTACGCATCATGTTTCTCAGTATCCCTTTCTATTTTTCTCCCCAGCTTTGTTTTTTATTGCCGTAGCCTCCGGCCAGTGCCGCCGATCCGGGACGCTTCCGTTGCTGTCGGAAGCTCACGATGGTGGTCATGAGCGACGGCGACGACGGCGAGCGGTGAGAAGGATGATGAACATTAGGAATGGAGGCAACGGTGCAGGATGAGGAGGAGGGGGATATCATGATGAGGTGGATGGGGTGGGAGGGACAGGAATAGCAGTTTGTTCAGGCTGAGGAGGAACAGGAGGAAGCGGGGAGTGGAAGACGGTGTGGGGGAACGGAGGAACATGACGAGGATGAGGAGATGTCCGGCGGTTGTTGGAAATGTCCGGCGGTTGTTCGAAAGCCTTCTTGGGGCCAGGTGTTTTCCTTCTTCGGGTTGACACCTCGCCGATTTGGCACACTCTCTGACAAGCTTCGCGGTCGAGCTGTCTGCGTCAGATTTTTGTTGTGGATCCTGGTGCCTGACCAGCTGAAAATTGTGATGCGCAAGGAAATGGGGCCTCTTGGGCCTTCGCGCGGTCCTCTGCGGGCCCTTTGTGAGATCGCGGACGTGAAGGACACCGAGGACGGGAAAGTATTTGAAACAACGAAATAAGAACCCGTTTTTTATTGCTTGGGGCATGACGGGCGTCATGGCCCCCGGACGGCTTTATTGCTTTGGGCATGGCGGGCGCCATGGCCCCCGCCCCCCCCCCCCCCCTATGACGTAACGCTCCCACTTCCAGTTCGCTCAGGGCAGTGCCCCCCGATGCGATCCGAGCACTGCCGCCGTGCGCATTGGGATCCGCGAGGTGTCCGCGTAGGAATCCGCATTGGAGTCTGGTCCGCAGTCGTCGTAGTCGACGTCGTCGTCGTCGTCGTCGTCGTCGTCGTCGTCGCTCGTGGCTTGTCGCTCGTCGCTCATAGTCGTCGTGCGTGCTGACGCGGTGGAAGCCTGCTTTTAATTCCGGGCCGATGACGGCAATCATCGAAAGGGGATGGAGGGGGTCGATGACGTCACGTTTCGCGCCGGTGGCGATGGGGAATGCTTAGGGTAGCGCCAGCATGTAGGTGGCGATTTTCACCACAACTCCTGTGTACACCACAGTGCCCGCGTGCACCACAGCGCCTGTGCACACCACCGCCTGTGTACACCACAGCAGCCGCGTGCAACACAACGTCAGTTTGTGCCATGGTGCCTGCGAGCACAACAGCTCTTATGCACACCACAGCGCTTGCGTTCACCACATCAGCCGTGTGCAACATAGCACCAGTATACACCACAATGCCTTTGTGCATTGCAGTGCTTGTGTACACCACGGCGCCTGTGTGCACCACAGCAACCGTGTGCAACACAGCACCAGTGTTGCATACATATAGGGTGTGATAACGAATCCTTATGACAAGATGGGGCGCCTGTGGATTCCACTGAAAACAATAGCGCCGCTGGAATCTACGTGTCTTCCCGAGTCCGCCCGCATCACCCTAACTCCTCCCTTTGCGTCCAGGAGGTTTCAGATAAATTGGCCGTCCGACAACCAATTGGACCGATTCAATAGACCATTCTGCGGTGCGCGCTGAGATGCGCACGCGCGCTGTAGCGCCAACCCGCACGACGGGGGGTAAGGAGGAGGAGGAGGAGGAGGAGGAGGAGGAGGGCGACGAGGAGGACGAGGAGGTGGACGTGGAGATGGGGGTGGAAGAGGAGGAGGAGGAGGAAGGATTAGGGAAAAACGCTCGATTCGATTATCAGCTATTTCCCGGCGTGGCGTCCTGTTTGTCCGCAGCAGATCCTCACGTACATGTTCCTTCTATTTGTCCTATGCACGCAGGCATTGTGGTGTACACCATCGCTGCGTTGCACGCGGATGCTGTGGTGTAGACGCGCGCTGTGGCGTGCACAGGCGCTGCGGTGCACGCAAACATTGTGGTGAACACAGGCGTTGCGTTGCACATGGTAGCTGCGGTGTGCAAATGTACGCCGGCGCTGTAGTGTACGCAAGCATTGTGGCGTACACAGGCGTTGCGTTGCACACGGTTGTTGCGGTGTACGCAGGGGTGTGGTATACACGCGCGTTGTGGTGCACGCGAGCGCTATGGTGTACACAGGCGCAGTGGGGCATATCGACACCTACTTGCTGATCGCGTCGTCGAGGTCATCGTCGTCGTCGTCGGTCGTCGTCGTCGTGATCGTCGTGGTCGTGGTCGTCGTCGTCGTCGTCGTTAGTCGTCGCTCGTCGCGTCGCGCGCGCGGGCGCGGCTGCGGTGCCGGATCCACACGGCGGGGGGGGGCGTTACGTCATACCCCCTCCCCTGCCCCCCCCCCTTGACGCCCGTCATCGCCGAACATAAAGAAACGCGCTCTAACCTTTTGTGTTGCAGCGCTTGTGTTCAGACGTGGGAGTTGTGGAAGCGTTGGGGCCGGTCGTGGGGCTCTCGGGGGGGAGTCTTGGAGGCAGTTTGGAGGCCTCAGGATGGCGTTCTTGAGACTCTTGGAGGTCTTCAAGGAGTTTCAGGGGGCGTCTTCGGGGCCAGTTGGAAATGTCAGGGGGCATCTTCAGGCCTCTTGGGGGGGCCTCTGGGGGCCTGCTGGGGGCTTCTTGGGCTGTCATCGGTACTTCTTCCGCCGTCTTGGCGCCCTCTCAGGCGCCTATTGGGCCCGTCCTGGGGCCCTCTTTGGCCTTTTTCCAGGGGCCTCCTGGGGCATCTTGGGCCCTTTTCTGGGGCCGTCTTGGAACCTTCTTGGGTTTCTCTTGGGCCGTTTCGGGGCTTTGTTGGGGAGTCTGCGACGCTCTGAAGGCCCAAGAGGCGAATACGTTGAAATTATAATTTATACGTTTCCCGAAGGGATTGGGACACTTGTTGTTTCTTTGGGTCTTCTTTGGGAGGCCTTCCTTTCAGGGCTTCTGAGGGCACCTTGGAGGCTTCTGGAGCCGTCTTGGGGGCATCTTGGGCGTCTTGCAGCGATCGTTCGGCGACTTGGGGCCCTCCTGGCCCATGTTGGGGCCCTCCTGGGCGAGGGGGCCGTCCCGGAGTGATCTGGAGTTCCGATTCCGCCCCGGGAATTAAATCGACCCCCCTCTCCCTCCCACCTCGGCAGAGCCACCCCGGCACCCAACCCCCAATTGAGCTGAAGCCCAGGAATTGAGGGTCAGGCTGTTCTAAGGGTTTTTGAAACTCACACGCCCGATCGGCTGATTTCATGTACATCCATGCAAATGACGGGAAGCGCCTCCGGCGTGTACCGTTGTTCCTGGGGCTTCGTAACTTTCTCCAACCAAGGGGTACCGGGTCCATCCCGGACCTCGTTGGCGGATGACGGGCTTCCGGCCCAAAACGGCCCAAGAGGCTTCCAAGATGGCGAAATATTCCCCTTCTCATTCCTCAGACGACCCAAGAGAGGCCCAAGAGGGCTCCAAGACGGCCCCAAATCGATCCAAGACAGCCCGAGAAGCCTTCCATATGCGCCAGAGAGCCCCAAGATCCCTCCCAAGAGGGCCCCGCGAAGCAACAATCAATTTTTTTCCCATTTGCTTTTGGCTGTTTTGGGGGTTCTCGCCTTTTCGAGCCTCCGCCGCCCCAAGAGGGCCCCACAGGCCCCCAAGGCTGCACAAAGATGGCCCAAGAAGCCCCCAGGAGGGCTCCATGACGGCCCAAGAGGGCCCCAAGACGGCACAAGAGGCGCCCAAGACGGCCACAGATGGCCCCAAGACAGCCCCAAGAAGGGCCCAAGAGTGGGACCAGGAACCGACAATTCAAGCCTTCCGCCCCAAGAGGCCCCTCCGGAGGCCCCGGAGGCCCCAAAGAGGCCCCCTAGAGGCCCCAAGTTGGCACCCGAGAGGCCCAAAAGAGGCCCCAAGAGGCTCGAACACGGCCCCCACGAGGCCCGTGTTATCTCAGGGCGGGCATCGAAATAATATCCCTGTTCTTGGGGTTCTTCGAGGGGCCTCTTGGGCCGTCTTCGAGCACTCTGGGACCGTCTTGGGGCTCTCTCGGGCAACGGCGGCCCACGTGCGATGACGACGAAAGACGAATGACGAACGACCAACGACCAACGACGAGCGACGACGACGACGACGACGACGTCATACCATGATCAACACATCGTCCCCATCATTGCGCAGGGAAGTCACAAACGTTGAGGAGAACAGAGGGCGCCGGCGTCGTCAGCAAACGCCTGTTGCCTCCCATGGCGTCGTCGTCGTCATCGCCGTCGTCGTCGTCATCGTAATCGTCGCCGTCTTCGTGTTCCTCATGGTCACCATCCTCGTCCCCCCCATGCTGCACATTATCCTTCTTCTGATCATTCCTTCTGCCTGGCGCTCGTCTTCTCAACTCTTTTACTCCACGTCATTATCTTACCATCCACCTCATGATCATCCTGCTGTTTTCCGCTGTGTTCGACGTCCTGGGCGCTGTCCTCAACATGCGCCCAACGAGCTCCGCATCCATAGAAAAACGGCGCTTCTCGTTCTTGTTTGGAAAGGCTTCATGTACATCCGTGCAACTTTATATACTTACGTTTATACGTGTGGGATGCATCCTTCTGTCTCTATCCATCACTCTCTCTCTCTCTCTCTTTCGCGCTCTCTCTCTTTGGCGCTCTCACTTTCTATCCCCTCTCTTTCGCTCTCTCTCTCTCTCTCTCTTTTTCTCTCTCTCTCTCTCTTTTTCTCTCTCTCTCTCACACTCTCTCTCTCTCTCTCCCTCTCCCTCTCCCTCTCTCTCTCTCCTCCCTCTCTCTCTCTCTCCATCTCTCTCTCTCCATCTCTCTCTCTCTCTCTCCATCCCCCCCATTCTCTCCCCGTCTCTCTCCCTCTCCCCATCTCTCGCTCCCTCCCACTCTCCTCCCCTCCTTGACACTGCCTTCCCTCCTCGCCCCTCCGCTTCGCGCCGCTTCCCCGCCCCAGCCTCGGAGGCCGAGGAGCAGCGGGGCCGCGGAGTGGAGGCTTTTTGGAGGCCCGCAGCCCCCCCTCCTCCCCCCCGCGAGCACCCGCCGCTGCCGCTCCTCGAGTCCCCCCTAAGGAAGGAGGAGGAGGAGGAGGAGGAGGAGAAAGAGGAGGAGGAGGAGGAGGATGTCTTGCCTTTCCTCAGATTCATCGTCGTCGTCGTCGTCGTCGTGTCGTGGTCGTGGTCGCCGGCGCCGTCCTCGTACCACCTCTCTTGCGCCGTTCCCTGACGTCTTCGGGTCTGGAAGGCGCGGGGACGGACCGTTCAGCTCGACCCCAGCTCGACGTTTCCTGCTCGATGTCTCGCCGGTGCCAGTTCGATGCTTCCCCCTTGAGACGCCCCCTAACTTTGCCCCTCACCCCACATCTTCGCGTCGTGAATCACGGCGGGAGGTTTGACCGTTTTCGGTTCCTGGGGGCCCCAACCAAGCCCTGGTGTCGATAAACCAGAAAGCCAGAGAAGGAGGTCGGCCCCCAGAAAGGGGTCCAGACCTCTGGGGAGAAGCTTTGTGAGCAAGCAGCGCGTCATCGGATCTCTGCGTCTCGGTCCTCCCGTCGACGGCAGCAACGAGGGCGATCACGGCTGGCCTCCCGTGCTACTTGCCAGTGCCCCTCCCTCTCCCAGTGCTCCTGCCCGCGTGCCGTCTGGGCCGCGACGGCGCGTCGCCGATGCCCGAAATCATGAGCTGCCCGCGGCGGGCCGTTCCCACGCGCGCTTCGCCATGCGCGGCACGTGGCGCGCCCCGAGCACGGCTCCGGAGCCCCCCCCCTTCCTGGCCTGGGTTGCCCGCGCGCGGCCCTGAGGGGGCGGGGCCCGCGGAGTCCGCCTGCTGAAGCTCATGCCTCCTCCTCCTCCTCCTCCTCCTCCTCCTCCTCCTCCTCCTCCTCTTCCTCCCCCTCCTCCTCCCCCTCCCCCTCCTCCTCCTCCACTTCGAGAAGTGATCCTCCCGCTTCGCTTCCCGTCGTGTTGCAGTCTGGTGTTGCTTCCCTCCAACACACATCACACATCGGAACGAGGAGCTTCCGCTAGCGCCAGCCGGTCTCAAGGCGTGCACGTGTTGCTTGCATCTAGGTGGGCAGCTGTTCTTGCGTTCATCCTCCTCCTGTCCTGTTGACCAGCCTGGGGAGGGGCAGCTGGCTACGGGGGCCCGCGGTGTCGTGTGGGCTCGGGGATTCCCACTCCCCTCCCTCCCTCCTCCCTGCCCCCCTCCCCAGCCGCCGTCCTAACCCCAGGCATTGGGTTCAGTCTCTCTGGCACTGTGGCAGCAGCACGCGCGGCGAACCAGCGTGGCACAGGCGGCAGCGCGCGGAGCGCAGCAGTTCGTGCACATTGCTGAGGTTCGCTGCGGTTTCACAGCTACTTCGACAGCGCCACAGCAATGGGTACATGGCGAGAGGTAAGTATGCCGTATGTGACAGGTACGAGCGCTCGCCACCGCCTCCACCACCAGCATCATGGCAACGCCAGCAGTACAGCCGACTTTAGGAATGTCCAGCATGTTCAAATCATAATCGTTGGTTTGACGTGTCCTGCAACAAGTGCATTCGGAGCGAGTCAACTTAAGCATCACAGCAAGAACGTGGAGGCAGACGTGGAAATTGGCGTCGCCGTTCAGAAAGTTAGCCACCACCACGTCGTCAGCGGCCACGACTTGCTCCAGCAGGGGATCGTGCGCTAAAAGAAGATCCCCTTCCAACTGACCACATGCATCCTGGAGGCCACCAGAGCCGACACGAGATGGACATACTCCCCCACAGATCCGAATGCCTCGGGCGAGTTCAAGAATACCCTCGGCACCACCCTCGAGCGCTTCGATTCGCGCGTGGATCAGCTCAACGAAGATTTTGGTATTCAGCTTTTTCACACCACGCCCGCCAGGTCTACAACAGTGCGTATGGGCAAGCAGACACAATGTGTGCAGCGTTGCCGTCGCCGTCTTGCAGACGTACATGTCAAGTATTTCGAAGGAGTGCTCCACTTGAAGGCATGCGCTCAACGAGTGGAATAACTGAGGAGCTTGTCCAAGCAGGGGGATTATAAGTCCACCGCGATTACCTGGAGGAGAAAGCGGGCCAGGAGCGGAAACCAGAACTTCGTGCGCCACCACGTCGGGCTCACGAGGACGAGGCAGACGATGACATGAATGATGATGTGGACGAGGGCAATGTGCCTCGCGATTCCCCTCGTGCGCGCCGTGATGGCCATCCGTCGTGGAGCCACCCGCGTGGCTGACCGGCCAAGCCAGCATCGCCGGCAGGCCCAGTGCAGCCTGGGCCCGTGCGGCAGCGCGCATCCCAGCGGCCCTCGCCCACGGGCAGCTGGCACGCATGGCTGCCAGATCAAAAGCAGCCATAGCGCGATGCGCAGCCAGGGCCAAGGCCGACCGTGCCCAGGCCCAGATGCGCGTCGCGCCCCGCTGGCGGGCCATCTCGCCTTCCACTCAGAAGCCGGGCCCGCCCCTCACTCCCCCCCCCTCGTTTCCTGGCACCCGAGGGGTCAGAAGAAGCGACCATCGATCACGGGCAGTCAGTCCCATCCCTTCGTCGCACCGTCCCTCTTTTTGAATTACAGTCAACGCGCATAGTAAGGACAAACGACTTTTTCAAGGGTACCCTTGGGTCCTTGCCTGCCTCAGCCTCTGCGGCCCGTCCCTAGCAATTTTCGCAGGCCAGTTTTTCAGGTTCCCTGGGGGTTTGGCCGCGTGCCGCCCAGAATACTTCAACTTCGGCCTCCAAGGATGTTGCGTCCTTGCCACGCGTCCTTACTATACGTTTTCACTGTAGGTCTGCGGAGGAGGCTCGCGTGCTGCGGCGAAGCGGCCCGCCCAGCCCCAGCTGCTCTGCGGAGTCCGCCGCAGTCGCGGGCCCGGGCCCTCATCCTGGGGCCGGAGACGGTGTCGCTGCGGGTCCAGGAGGCACCGGAACTTCATGGTCTTTCGAATCAGTCCTGGCGCTAGAAGTTAGAAGCGGGATTGCGTCTTGGTTTGGGGTCCTCGATTCCAGGGCGGTCCTTCACTCCTATCCGCGTCTGCGGTTGGTAGCGCTCCAGGAGATTGTCGGACTTGACGCCAGATCGTTCGCTCCGCGGGCGCAGGGGCTCGCGCGCAGAGGAGGAGGAAATAGAGGAGGGGGAATCGGAGGAGGAGGAGAGGGAGGAGGAAGAGGAGGCGGAGGAAGAGGAATGGCAGGAGGAAACGGATGATAATGAGGATGGCGATGGGCATGGTCCGGCATGGTGATGGTGATGCTGCTGATGATGAAGATGATGTTGATGTAGAGTGTGATTGTGATGATGATGACGCTGGTGATGCTGCTGCTGATGATGATGTTGATGATGATGTTGATGCTGATGATGACCATGATGATGATGATGATGATGATGATGAGGATGATGATGATGATGTTGATGATGATGATGATGATGTTGATGATGATGATAACGATAACGATCATGATGCTGATGACGATGGTGATCATGATCATGCTGCTGCTGATGTTGACGATGTTGATGATGCTGACGATGATGCTGATGATGATGGTGGTGATGATGATGCTGATGGTGGTGATGTTGATGATGCTGATGGGGATGATGTCGGTGATGCTGCTGATGATGTTGGTGGTGGTGATGGTGGTGGTGTTTGTGGTTATGATTATGCTTATGGTGATGCTGATGATGATGGTGATGCTGATGATACTGATGATGATGCTGCTGTTGATGATGATGATGGTTATGATGATGATGATGATGATGATGATGATGATGACGATGATGATGATGATGATGATGATGATGATGATGCTGGGGATGATGATGATGATGATGATGATGATGATGATGATGGTGATGGTGATGGTGATGGTGATGGTGATGGTGATGATGATGATACTGATGATGATGATGCTCGTGGTGGTGATGATGATGCTGCTGATGATGCTGTTGCTTGTGATGATGATGGTGATGATGCTGATGATGCTGATGATGGTGATGGTGATGGTGAGGGGGACGAATGCAGGTGCAAAGGAAGAGCAGTAGGAACATAAGGATAATGAGAGATAATGGGACGTGGATGATAATGAGGAGGCGAAGGCAGGGGAGGAGGAGGAGAAGGAGGAGGAGGAGGAGGAACAAGAAAAATAATAAGAGGACGAGGCGGAGTAAGAGGATGCGGACAAAGTGGGTGGGAGGCGGAAATAAGAGGATATGGAGGAGGTGGAGCAGTATAAGGAGCACGGGTCGGAGGAGGAAGCGCCTGCCTGGATTCGCAGGCGGGGTCGAAGCAGGAGAAGGAGGAGGAGGAGGAGGAGGAGGAGGAGGAGGAGGGCGTCGGCGATCCCTCTTGACCTTACCACGCAGCCCGCGGTTCCTTGCCCCATGTGACTCGCTCCCCTGCCGGTCCCCCCCCGGCAAAAGGGACCAGAGGGCGGTGTTCGACGAGCACGCCGGGTCGGGAGGCGGTGCCCCTCCGCTGTCTCCTGCCCCCAATCATGGCCTGTGCAGGGCGTGGGCGGGGGAGCAGAGGAAAGAGGTGGGGGGAAGAGGGAGGAGGAGGAAGGGGGAGGAGGAAGGAGGAGGAGGAGGAGCAGGAGGAGGAGGAGGAGGAGGAGGAGGAGGGAGGAGGAGGAGGAGGAGGAGGAGGAAGAGGAGGAGGAGGAGGGGCAGCCTGCGCGCGCGCGTGGGCGGGGTCTCTCCGGGCGTTGGCGTGGGCGGAAGGAAGAGGACGGATGACGGAGGAGAGGTGGGGGGGGAAGAGGGAGGAGGGTAAGAAGGTGGGGGAAGACAGTTGACCCGCGTGGGTGTCCTGTGATTGCCTTTGGTTATCCCGCGGTTGTCCGTGGCTGTCCCGTGGTGGCCCCGCGGTTGTCCCGCAGTCGTCCTGTGACTGTCACGTCTGTTCATAGATCCTGAGACCGATAGGGACACAGTGGGCAGTATCTAGTGAGACAACGTGTCATGATGATAACAGTGTTGATGAATTCATGACACGTTCACCTGGACATGTGTATACGGTCGAGCATGCGATTAAGAAACCTCCTCCCGAGAAGCTGGGCCCCCGTTCCTTAGCCAGCTTGCGGGGAAGCTGGCCCAGTTTCTTCAGCACGCTCGTCTCGCCATGTCGACGACAGAGGTTGGCCCAGGCTTGCTTCTAGAAGCTTCCGGGAGGCTGCCCACTCGCATTCTCGCCATCACCCGGTACTGGTACTGGCGCGCAGGAGGGCCTTGCGGCTCGAAGTGGGTGCGCTGTCCGTGGGAAAGGGAGCTCTTAACGGTGAATTGACACTGCGCTGTTGACACTGCGTTAAATGGGCACTGCGCTGTTGACAAGGAACCACCCTCTCCCCCGCCCCCCCTCCTTCTCCTCCTCCGTCCATTGGGTTTCCCTTGCTGGACGGGTGCGGCGGTTTGGAATCGTGGCCTCACCCCTTGTCTTGCTCTCCAGTTTACGCTCTGTTTGGTCTATCCTCGTGCGCTGGTTGTCAGTTCGGGCAGAGTGCGGCTGCCTTCTCTTTCCTGTCTCCCGCTTCCCTCCTCTTCCTCCTCCTACCTCCTACCCTGCCCCCTGCCTCGCCGTCCAGGTGGGCTGCAGACTGCGGCACCGTCGCCACTTTCGTGGTGCGTCGTGCTGGCCTACGCAGTGCGGGCCTACGTAGGTCCAGCGCACGGGTCTAGCGTAGTGCGGGCCTATGCGGGTATGGATTAAACCTCGCCGTCCCTTGAGGTTGCGAACTGCGAAATCCCGCCACTCTCGTGGGCCCCTGTGGGATCCAGCGTAGTGCGGGCCTGCGCAGACCTGAATCAGGCCTCGCCGTCCCTGCGGGCTGTAAGCTGCGACACTGGTTTCAGCGCAGTGCGGGCCTACGGGAATGTGAACAAGACGTCGTTGTCCCTGGCTCTGGGCTGCGAACTGCAAAACTGCTGCCACTCGCGTGGGCTCCAGGGGGGCCAGCATAGGGCGGTCCTACGTGGATCTGGATGACACGTCGCCGTCCCTGGGGGCTGAGACTTGCGAACATGTATCAGTTTTCACGGCCTCCGGGGGGGAACCAGGCCTGCGTGCACCTGAGTGAGACCTCGCCGTCCCTGGCAATTGCGAATGCGAACATGTCGCCACTCTCGCTGGTTCCTGCTGAATCCATCGTAGTGCGGGCCCACGCAAATCTGAATGATGTCTCGCCGTCCCTGGTGGCTGCGAGCTGCGAAGCTGGCGCCATTTTCGTGGGCTCGTTTGGGGTACGGCGTCGTTCGGTCTCCGCCCTCCCGCCTCCCTCCACACATTCTGACGAGTTTCGGTTCGTAGTGAAGCCATGGCCCCTGGGCACTCCGCCATACCGTGGCTGATTGTTTTCCGGCGCTCGCGAATGGCCGGGTTCAAGAGTTCAATTTTGAAGTAGATCGACCTTGCAAATTGTTATGTTTCGTCGGGCTGGAGGGGCCGTGCGAGGGAGGAAGGTGCACGCGCCGCTTTGGCCCGAGCCAGAGGAGAATCCTAGGGTGCGATCGCTGCAGACCGGGCGCTCACCTGTACGCCCTGGCCCGGCCTCCGGACAGCAACGGCAGAAAGAGAACACCGTCTCGTCTCATTCTGAATTGATTCACGCCTCCCTCCACTTTTTCCTCTTCCTCGAGGTCTCCCGCGTTCTTCCTCTCGATTTTCGGCTCCTGCTCCGATCGCTCCCACAATGTCTTTCGTACGATCACCTTTCTTTGAGTCGCATCTCTTCGTTATCGCTGCTTACCTCCTGCCATCGTCATGCCTTCGACCACGCCCCCGCGCCTTCGCGTCGCTTTCCTTCTGTGCTCATACATCCGCCTTGTTCCTGCTCGAGGTCATCGTTGTCGATCGAAAAGCGGCCGCCGCAGGCGTGCTGGCGCCGGAAGACATATTGAGGCTCTCCAGGCGGCGGGGCAAGGCGAGGAGAGGTGAGGGTGAGAGATGGGGATGGGAAGTGAACATTTGGATCAGGTAATTTATAAAACGGCGGGGAAGGCGGGAAGAGGGAGGGGTAGGATGGAGGAAGGAGGGGGAGTGGAGGAGGGAGTGGAAGGATGGGAGGGGGAGGGAGGATAAGAAGCGGTGGAGGAGATGCCCAGGATGACTCACATAGGAAGAAGGTAGAGCGGAGGGAGAGGAGCGAATTAGGGGGATCAGGAGGGAGGTAAGGAGGGGGACGAGGGAAGGTGAGGGAGCAGGAAGGAGCAGCAGGTGGGAGGATCAGGAGCATGATGACAGGATGAATCGCAGGAGTACACATTCTTCATTTCGAATTCTTCGAAAGTCCTTCGATTGTTTGGGGGGGCAAGATCCTTTCATTTATGCTTGTTCTATCCTGGGCCTCTCCCTGGCCACTAGGGGGCCAGGAACACTTACAAAACGAGCGCAGTTAGAACTGAGCGCAATTAGAAATGAGCACGATTTGAAATGAACGACGTGTACACGCGGGTCGTTGAAAGTAGGTATTTTTGGATTCCCAGATCCCAAACGACTTGAAGCGCCTTCCTACTTCAAGAATCGGCATGCTTTAGCTGTGCTTTGTTATTCTCTGGGAGGACCTGTATCCAGTCCACTATATCCGCCTTCCTACTTTATGTTTCTACCTACTTCTTCCGACCGACGTGTACGTATCAGACGGAGACGGGGAACATGGAGGACGACGGGGAGGAGCTCCATTCCATTCCGCTCGCATGCCATTCCCCTGCCAGCCTCCAGGTTGCTGCTGCTGCTCGTCCCCGTCCTCCCGCGCGGCGCGGCGCCGGAGCGGCGAAGAAGTGGGGTGGCCGTTCCTGGCAGGCCTGCCCCAGTGCAGGACGCACGGGGCCCTGCCCGCCGACGCCAGGAGGTGGTGGCGCTTATCCGCGTGGCCGAGTGGATGTACTTACGGCCTTAGTGGGCCCTGGAGACGACAGGGCCGTTTTTTCACCGGTTCCGTTCTGCCTTTTTTTTGCCGGTTTCGACGCCGTTTTTTTTTTACCGGTTCCGCCGTTTTTTGACCGGTTCCGGCTCCGGTTCCAATCTTGGAGCCGTTTTTTTGCTGTTTCATTTTTTTTTGCCGTTTCCAGTTTGACGGGACATTTTTTGGGAAACGGTGAAAAAATGGCCCTGCCGTTTCCGGGGCCCACAAAGCTTACGGCTGATTGCTTTTCTTGCGCGCGCAGACGAGTGGTGATTTCGCGAACATCGGAGCAACAAAAAACACAAAAAAATTTGCCGGCGGGGTCCCACTGCCGGCGCAGGCCGCTCGCAGATGCTGCCAGCGCCGGTATGGCAACCTGGCTCCATTCCTAAGTCGGGCCTGTCCCTCTACAGGGGGGAATATTCAAAAATAATCAAAAAATTGTCTGGGGACTATTTTTTGAATATGTGTTTGGATATTTGGGAGCATTTTTGGAGTATGTTTTATCTTTCGTCGAAAATCCCCCTGTAGGAGGACACGCCCGACTTAACTCAAATTCCTTTTTGGGGGTGGGGGCGGTCATGGCGGAAGCGAGAGAGTGCCAACTTCTGTGCTTGGGGAGGCGCCTGGCAGATCCCCTTCGGCAAGTGGTTGGTCCAGCGCCCTCCGAAGAGCTTGTGGAGCCGCAGAGGGTGTTATCGCCGCTCTTCCTCTCCACCCTCGTCGGCAGCGCACGTCAGTCGCCGCGGGAGAGTCAAGGGGAGGATCGTGATACATCTCGAGCAGGCACCTGCACACCGCGGAAAGGATCGGAAGGACCGACCCATTTATCCCATCCTCAGAAGACACCTCCTGCGGCACGGACCCTGGCGGACACCCTCTGGCTTGTAATTGCCCACCCGGCGCAGTGCGCCGTCTTCTTGAGATGCCGCACGCTGATCGCGAAGGAGAAGAAGCACTTCTCGCGGCGGACTGGAAAAATCGTTTGACTCTATTCGCGTGGACGTTCTGCTCGAAGCGCTGGAAAAGAATGGGGCGCCCGACAATGCGCTTGGCGTGGTCCGGGAGACACGCGGAGCTTGTTTTTTGTTCTCCGTCCCAGATGGCCCGGGGACATCGCGACAGCGGAACCAATTATCCGCCATTTCTCAAAGTTGTCCACTATCTCCATTTCTTTCCGTCATGGTCACGAGCGTGATCATCGAACTTGCCGGGGAAAAGTTGGACGAACACACGCTGAGCGCATTGGCTTCCGGTGGCCTTGCCATCCCCTTGTGCGCGGACGACGCGCTCGCGGTGGGGCGCCGCGAAACACCAATGCAGAAGTCTCTGGATGCGATAGCAACAGCAGGCAACGCAGCCGGCATGGAACAACGCTGGAACAAACTTCAAAGTTTGCAACCGAGGTGCGACGTTGTACTGTGAGGCCCCAGTGGCAATTTCATGGACCCCGCTGGACACATTCAGTCTTGGGAGCACAAATTTTCAATTCTTGTAGGCTCAAGCACGAACTCAGCCGCCGGCTTGGGGCAGCTTGGGGCGAGTTTCAGAGATGTACATGGGCATGGAGGCACACGTCGATCCGCACTTCAAGAAAATAGGGTCTTTGTTGGGGCGCTCATCGCGGCAACTCATGTGCTCGCTGAGTTCAGCAAGGTTGAACACATCAGAAATGCGGCGTCTTGATGGATGCCAATCGAGGTGTCCCAGAAGTATTTTGAATATTTGAAAAACCTACATTCTTACATGTCAAGGATATCGAAGAAAACCGCATTAGAAAAGGCAGGCACGATACCTTGCAGCGACCAGCTGCTAAGACGTCAACTTCTATGATTTGGACAAATCGGTCGCCGCAGGGATGGCGACGTGCATCGGAAACTGACGCTCCAGCCGGGGAGCGCGAAACCTGTGGCGGATTCTACCTGGCGGGCGCCCGGGCGTCCCAGGCATGAGTGGGCGAAGTGTTTATACAATTTGATTCGCAGTAGTTTGGGCTCCGATGTTGTGCCTTGGTGGGAACGAACGAAGCGTCATTCTGCAACGCAGTTTGTGCTTGACGGCCGCGCTGCGCACTGAATTTTTTTTGCCCTGGCGGTGCGCGGTTTCAACTGCCCACGCGCCGAATTGCTTGCGGCTTCGCGTTCGTTCGCTCGCGCAAAAGAACTTGCCATTCGATGTGCATTTCGGCGCGCGCGCCTGTCTAGTAAAGTTAGCGCAGTTTCTCCGCACAGGCACTACACTTCAGCATATCTCCCCCTTTTTGGGGGCATTGGCTGCATTCTACAGGCGACGTGTTCTCTCGGCAGAGCTCGTCGACTGACCGCGTTCTCAGCTGGGAGTAGGAGGTCGACACATGATGCGGAGGTAGAGTAGGGCAAGGCCGGCGAGGAAGAGGTGGCGGAGGAGGCAAGGGTCTAAAGTAACGCCGTT